GAGCGTGCAAAGCCCCGCTGCCTGCGGCCCAGCGAGCGTGCAAAACCCTGCTGCCTGCGGCCCAGCGAGCGTGCAAGCCCTGCTGCCTGCGGCCCAGCGAGCGTGCAAGCCCTGCTGCCTGCGGCCCAGCGAGCGTGCAAAATCCTGTGGCCCCAGGATGGTGAGCGTGCCAGGCCCAAGACTTCCAGTCTGGTGAGTGTGCAAGGTGCATCCCTGCCAGCATGGCGAGTGTGCAAGGATGTGCCCCCCCACCAGCATGGTGAGGGTGAGTGTGCAGGTGCGCTGCCCCCTCCCCCCCAGCATGGTGACTGTACAAGGTGCGTCCCCTCCCCCAGCGCGGTGAGTGTGCAAGGGTGTGTGTGTGTCCCCAGCACGGGGAGTGTGCAAGAGGGGGTGTGTCCCCCCCAGCGCGGTGCGTGTGCAAGGGGGGGTGTGTGTGCCCCCAGCACGGGGAGTGTGCAAGAGGGGGTGTGTCCCCCCCAGCGCGGTGCGTGTGCAAGGGGGGGTGTGTGTGCCCCCAGCACGGGGAGTGTGCAAGAGGGGGTGTGTCCCCCCCAGCGCGGTGCGTGTGCAAGGGGGGGTGTGTGTGCCCCCAGCACGGGGAGTGTGCAAGAGGGGGTGTGTCCCCCCCAGCGCGGTGCGTGTGCAAGGGGGGGTGTGTGTGCCCCCAGCACGGGGAGTGTGCAAGAGGGGGTGTGTCCCCCCCAGCGCGGTGCGTGTGCAAGGGGGGGTGTGTGTGCCCCCAGCACGGGGAGTGTGCAAGAGGGGGTGTGTCCCCCCCAGCGCGGTGCGTGTGCAAGGGGGGGTGTGTGTGCCCCCAGCACGGGGAGTGTGCAAGAGGGGGTGTGTCCCCCCCAGCGCGGTGCGTGTGCAAGGGGGGGTGTGTGTGCCCCCAGCACGGGGAGTGTGCAAGAGGGGGTGTGTCCCCCCCAGCGCGGTGCGTGTGCAAGGGGGGGTGTGTGTGCCCCCAGCACGGGGAGTGTGCAAGAGGGGGTGTGTCCCCCCCAGCGCGGTGCGTGTGCAAGGGGGGGTGTGTGTGCCCCCAGCACGGGGAGTGTGCAAGAGGGGGTGTGTCCCCCCCAGCGCGGTGCGTGTGCAAGGGGGGGTGTGTGTGCCCCCAGCACGGGGAGTGTGCAAGAGGGGGTGTGTCCCCCCCAGCGCGGTGCGTGTGCAAGGGGGGGTGTGTGTGCCCCCAGCACGGGGAGTGTGCAAGAGGGGGTGTGTCCCCCCCAGCGCGGTGCGTGTGCAAGGGGGGGTGTGTGTGCCCCCAGCACGGGGAGTGTGCAAGAGGGGGTGTGTCCCCCCCAGCGCGGTGCGTGTGCAAGGGGGGGTGTGTGTGCCCCCAGCACGGGGAGTGTGCAAGAGGGGGTGTGTCCCCCCCAGCGCGGTGCGTGTGCAAGGGGGGGTGTGTGTGCCCCCAGCACGGGGAGTGTGCAAGAGGGGGTGTGTCCCCCCCAGCGCGGTGCGTGTGCAAGGGGGGGTGTGTGTGCCCCCAGCACGGGGAGTGTGCAAGGGGGGTGTGTGTGTCCCCAGCACGGGGAGTGTGCAAGAGGGGGTGTGTCCCCCCCCAGCGCGGGGAGTGTGCAAGGGGGAGTGTGCAAGCCCCCCCAGCGCGGTGAGTGTGCAAGGGTGTGTGTGTGTCCCCAGCGCAGGGAGTGTGCAAGGGTGTGTGTGTGTGTCCCCAGCGCGGGGTGTGTTCCCCCCAGCGTGTGTCCCCCCCCAGCGCGGGGAGTGTGCAAGGGGGAGTGTGCAAGCCCCCCAGCGCGGTGAGTGTGCAAGGGGGTGTGTGTGTGTCCCCCGCGCGCGGGGGGTGGGCAGG